ATGGTGAGGCAAGAAATCCTTCAGTAATAAATAGGACTTTGTTAATAGTTTTTATGTATTTATTTATTTACTTATTTTTAGTACAGTAGTCAACACATATAAATATATAACCTATAAACTGCCGGCTACAATTGTCTCCTAACTCAGACACTCCACAGGTCTCCCGTCAGTCTGTCATCTTTCTCTGTTTTGCTTTCTTTGCTCTTCTCAGGTGACAGAAACAGTGTCGGCAGCGCCGGCAGTGTTGGTAGCAGCCGCAGTGCAGGGAGTGGTCAGAGCTCAGAGAGCGGCCACAAACAGAATGGGATTCATTGCTGCCACAACAATGACGCTGGCAAGGTCAGATATGCACAGAGACAACCAAGGTGGACACTAAAAAACAAGGAGATGCTCTGCTTCACATGTCTACAGCAGACAGTTTCACTAACAGTAACAGAAATGAACAAAGTGTGGAGGATGTCAGTAATGCACTAAAGTACTTTTTTCTATCGTTGAGTACGCCTTTGTTTTGTGTGTGCAGCTGGCTCCCTCTGCTGGTGAGTCAAGGGACCGCGTTATAGGAGTGGACCACAGCAAACAGGTTGATGGATCCACAGGTTAGTCACCGAATGAAACATCTGTCATCTTCTTACTCTGTTTGACAATAATAATAATTCTGTTAGCTGTGATTCTTCCAAGGTCCCAGACTTTCTGAAGGTCTTTCAAAGTTTTTCTTTTGCGGGTTGGCTGCTTTTTCAGTCCAGTTGTTTTACCTGACCTTTTAAATGGTAAATAGTAAATGGACTGATTCTTATATAGCGCTTTTCTACTCTCCCCGAGTACTCAAAGCGCTGTATGCAACATGCCACATTCACCCAATCACACCCATTCTCACAAGCACTTTCTCTATACATAGTGCTTTCTAGGTACAGTCACACGATGGATGCATCAGAGAGCAACCTGGGGTTAATATCTTGCCCAAGGATACTTGACGTGCAGACTGGAGGAGCCAGGGATCGAACCACCAACTGTCCGATCAGTAGATCGGGGGTGGCTCTACCTCCCGAGCTACAGCCACCCGATTCTTCTTTTACAGAAGAATGTTTTTTTGCTTCTTTATCTACTTAATACTGGCCTATGAATCTTTCAACCATAAAAAGGTTGTATCTTTAGAAACCACGGGGCTGCTGTGTGCAGGGATCATACAGCATTTTTCTGCTGTTTCTGTTGATGGTCTGAAAGGAAATGAGATGGAGGGGGACAGTAAATGCTTACCATACTTTACTTCACCACTGAAGCCAATAAAACCAGCATCTTCTTTCATCTACGCAAGCCATAAAAGCCCAGATCACTACTTCACAAGAAACACTAAAGGCCTGGAGAAATGAGCTCTGCTGTCAGGTATAATGGCAGGTGCAGGCTTGCATGTTTACAGTGTTTTCAGAACTTAAGTTCATTCTGCTGAGATAAGGCTTTTCAAATGTTAACACTCGAAGAAGCAGAGAATTCCCGTTGACCTCAGGGTGAATCGGAAGGGGGGGTTAAAGGAGAAGAGGGAGGAGACAGGGAGCATCAGGAGCAAAACACATCTGTTAAAGAAAGAAGAGAAAGAGGAAGGAAGACAGGGAAGAGGAGCTGATGTCTGCCCTGCATGAAGGATAGGTGGAGGGCAGGATGAAGTGTGAGACATCAGGAGCTCTCCTGCACTCGTTTCTTCTCAGGGGTAAGACCGTTGTTATAATTTGACATGATGTTTGACGTTTTGTCAGAGGAGAAAGGGTTCGATCCTGTTTTAAAGGACCCACTGCATTCCACGTTTTTGGTTAATATTTCTTTGGGAATCACCTTATTGGTGCAGAAATATAATTTTATGCCTGCCAAACTTTGTTATCTTTGACATTTTTGATACATTCAGCTAAAGAAATGGGAAAGAAATTGTGTTTTTGCCACAGACTGATAGTTATTGTCAATATTTCAACCTTTCTTTCTTTGCTTGTTGTCTGTTTTGTGCAGATAAAAGATAAATAAATAATAAGATGAAAAACTGTTTTACATTTTATCATTGAGTTAGGTTCCTCGTATGCTGTACTTGAATGAGTCGTGGTCAGACTTAAGTGGCTTAAAAAAGCAAATAGTTGGAAATAGTTGGGTGCAAAGACTGGAAAACAAGTGAAAGCCCTTCAGGAAGCCTGGAGATACCAATCTTGCTTATGGGTTAAGGACCTGCAGCTCTGTCCATCTCTCCTACAGTAACTGCCCGTCTGCTGTAATCTCCTCCATGCTCTTGAGACTATGCCGGGAGACGCAGCAAACCTTCTGGCAATAGCATCTATTGAGCTGGACTACCTGCACAACCTCTGTTCCTATCCAAATACAAAACTAGTGAAAAACAGTCAGAAAAGCTGAGCAGAGAAAAAATGTCTCAACCTTTAAAACCAGTCTTGATTTGATGGGCGATCACTAACCTAGAAGTGTAACTGACTGTGTTTGAATCGTAGTTGTACTTTTCCACAGAACAATTACACAAATTCCTCATCTCTTTCCATCTTGTACAAAGAGCATGTCGCAAGAAGCATGACTGCGTTGTTTTGATCGGTGAATAAGTTAACTCATCTCCCAGGAACATCTTGACAGTGCAGTGTCTTATATTACTTATTGTCCTGTTACAAGGTGCATCTGTGTGTCTGTAAGAGGTCTTAAATAAAAGTTATTGAGAACTGAAAAGATCAAATGTTGTTGCGAGAAAGGACTAGAAGAGCGGGAAACAAAAGAGTCAGCCTTGGGCAAGAAGAGAAGTGAAATTGGAGCAGTTGGCAACAAAGTATCATTCCTCTGAGATCTGAGTATATAATGACTGTAAATAAGATGAGTGAGGGGTGTATGAGATCTGGTAGATGGCACAGCTTCACTCAGTCACACAGCTGCTTGGAAAAGAAGGATTTAACATGACTCGACGAATGCAGACCGGATTGATCTCTTGCTGTCACAAAGCAGAATCTTGTTACTTTGAAAACATGGCTGTCTTTTTTTGGGTTCGTCTTGTTTTTCCTCCACTGTCTGTCTTCCTCCACGCACTCGTCGCAAAACACATCCCACAGGATTAATTGTGTGTGTTTTTTAGGTGGTTCCCGCCAACAGGTTAACGGCACTCCTCAGAAAGGCTTTGTGAGGCCTGAACAGCTTTTGGAAGGCAAGGTGAGCTGAGTTTTAGAGTTGTGCAAGTTTGCGTAAATGTTTCCTACACACAGAGGTTTTGGAAATGAATCTCCTCGCTGTCGTTAGGATTCAGAAGCTATCTACCAGTGGCTGTGTGGGTTCCAGCTCGAGCAGTACACGTCCAGCTTCATCAGTGCAGGATATGATGTCCCCACCATCAGCAGAATGACCCCTGAGGTGTGTATTTATGTTACAATTTTCAGCATTTTTAGCTCTATGCCGTTAGACGTTTCTTTGTTCTTTGTACTTTTAAGATGTGTTTGTTTTTTGCTTCTTCTTCTTTTACATAAAACCTTGGGATGACTGTTTTGTGAAGTAATATGAAAATGAATTTGTTCCATTTCAGCCTGAAACCCTCTGAGCCTGATATGTATGTTTATAAAAAATGTTTACTTGACATGACTGTAACTAAAGCACTCTTTTTTTACAGATGAAAAAAAAGATTTCTCTTGGCTAAAGTACAGTTAGGCTACGTTCACTCTGCAGGTCTTGATGCTCAATTCCGATTTTTTGATCAAATCCGATTTTTTTGTCTGCTCGTTCACACTAC